TACATACATACATACATACATACATACATACATACATACATACATACTACATACATAAATAGGCCAAGTAGACATCAAAGAAGACAGCAATGACTTCTGCTAAGGCCCCCATAAGGGCAGCACCTAAGCAAAAGATTGTGATGCCTGTGAAGGTCTCTGTTTTTAAAAAATGTGTAGCCAGGCTGGCCTTGAACTCGTGATCTTCCTGTCTCTGCCTCCTTCAGTAAATCCTACCAGCATGTGCCACCTCAACCAATGATAGTAGAGAATTTTAAATAAAGATCCATCTGTAACTCTACATATGGGAGCAATTGAGGAAGATACTCCATGTTGACCTCTGCCCTCCATACGTACACATGCATGCATACACACCCATGCACACAGCCAAAGGAACATATTACATACATACATACGTTTTTTTAATTTAAAGATAAAAAGAAAAATTTTAAAAAGTTTCCATTAGGGATGATAAAAAACATTACACAGAAGGAGAATGGCAATGGTTGCCTCACTAGTATAAAGTCCGTCATAGCCCTGTATTGTACAATTAAATTGTAGGACCCAGTCATAACAAGCTCAATAGAGGCCTGAGTCTCAGTAGTTTACCCTAAGGCAATGCCTGGTTCCAAGAAAGATCACAAACTGAGATCACCGAGGTACCACCCAGGAGCAGACCATCCAAAGGAAATTCTACCATTCCAACCATTGTAGGCACCCCTAGACAAATGTCAGCCAATCAGAGCTCCTGAACCTTAGAAATCCCGCACCCCCACCTTTGCTACTATAAAAACCCAACCCTAACTGAGTTTGGGGTTCTCAGACCACTTCAATATGTTGGATACATGGAGACTCTGAGTTTGCAAACTTGTGTAATAAAGGTTCTTTGCTTTTACATACAGGACTTGGTCTCCTAGTTGGTTTTTTTTGTGGGGGGGGACTCTGTGATCTGAGCATAACATAATTATTAAAATGGTAAACTTTTATGTTCTATATGTCTATCATATAAAATAAGACTGAGAGACTAACTTGGTTCACATTCAGAGCATTCTCACCCAAGTGTCTAGATCACCAGGCCTCATGTAGTGCTTTTCAAATCCTCACAAAACTAGTAACAAAATAATTAGCTTATTAAATACTTATCGTAGTCTAGGCATTGTACATTGTTTTATGTCATTTGGTCTGGGCTGACGCTGAAGTTACAATTCTCCTGTTTTAGCATCTCGAGTGCTGGGATCACAGACCTAGGTTACCACATTCAGCTTGAACACTAGGGTTTGAAACTGAGTATTCTTAACTGGGCAGTGGTGGTGCACGCCTTTAATCCTTGCACTTGGGAGGCAGAGGCAGGTGGATCTCTGTGAGTCTGAGGCCAGCCTGGTTTACAGAGTGAGTTCTAGCACAGCCAGGGCAACACAGAGAAATCTTGTCTCGGAACCTCCCAACCCCCCCCTCGAAAAAAAAAAGCCAAAATTCTGAGTATTTTCAAAGACCAAATTGTTTCTTGGTTCCAGAACTTTTTCCACAAGCCTCTCTCATACTATAAAGATTGTATACATAGTCCTTTGTTTTGTTTTGTTTTGTTGGTTTTTTGAGACAGGGCTTCTCTGTGGCTTTGGAGCCTGTCCTGGAACTAGCTCTTGTAGACCAGGCTGGCCTCGAACACATAGAGATCCGCCTGCCTCTGCCTCCCGAGTGCTGGGATTAAAGGAGTGTGTCACCACCGCCCAGCAAAAGATGTATTTCTTTGTGTACTAACTCTTTGTTTATGCCTGAGTGTATATAGGCACAGCACTTAAGTTGCAGGAGCACTTAGAAGTTCAAAGGGGGGGTCTTGTGTATCTCCTGGAACTAGAATTACAGGCTGTTGAGGTGCCTGATGTAGGTTCAGTTAATTGACCTAGGTCTTCTGCAAGAGCAGTTAATGCTCTTAACTGCTGAACCATCTCTCTGGCTCGGAGAAGTGATTTCTAGGGGTTGGGAGTGTGGCTCAGTTGCTAGAGTACCTGCTTAGCACGCACAAAGTCCCAGGGTCAATCCCCAGAAACACATACAAATTCAGGAACCAGACATGATGGCACACATCTGTAATCCCAGCACTTGGGAGGTGGAGACCGGAGCATCAGCAGTTCAAGGTCACCCCTGGGCTACACAGAGAGTCCGAGGCCACTGTAACCTATGTGACACACCGAATGATGCCACCACCACCAAACAGACAAACAAAACCAGCAGAAATGAGTACATGAAGGCCTCTGCCAAGGAGGAGAAGCAGCCAGCTCTCATGGTTCCTTCCCACCTGCCTGGCAGTGCTCACATGAATTCACTCCCTTAATTTCATAATAGGCCTCAGGTATGGGAGCTCTGATTACCTTCATTGTAGAGGAGGATGTGAGCCACAGTGAGGATAATTTTCCTAAGGTCACAAAACCACTTGATACCAGAAAAATAGAATTTGAAATCTCTTTATTACTACTGTATCAAGTGTACAGATGCATGCGCGTGTGGAGGTCAGAGGGCAGCTTTGCTGACTCAGTTCTCTCTTTCCGCCTTCCTTTGGGGTCCCAGGATTGAACCCAGATCACAGCTCTCAGGCTTGTACAACAAGCACCTTTCGCCTGCTGGGCCATCTCACTGGTTTCAAGTTAGGATCTTTAAACCTCCCCCCTCCTTTCTAATAAGAATAATATTCTCATGTTTCTAATACCAGAAAGGCAGAATGGCTAGCCCCTCTTCTTATTTCATTGACGATGTCCCCCTGCTTCACCTCCTCCTCATGACTGATCTGTTGGTGATAAAAAGTACATAAACGAACAAAGGAAAGACCCCTTCACCTCTAGGCTGCCATCCTTACCATCAGACAAAAGTAGGAGGGGTCGTGTCTCTCTTGTGCACTCTTGTGTGTGTGTGTGTGTGTGTGTGTGTGTGTGTGTGTGTGCCGTCTTTCAAAGTAAATTTCATATTGGATAGCATCTTTATAAGCACAGATTTATATGAGCACATCAATGAGTGAGGTACATTCTTTCACTAGGCTCTAGGGGATCTTCCATATTTCCATGTCTTGAATTTTCCTCTATTATCTGAAGTTTTTCTATTCCTGGAATCCTCTTACTCAGATCTCTTACCTGCATCCCACCGTTTTGGGTGACCAAATCATTCCCGCCTTCCAGCCCCTCACCTTGACCTTGAGCTATGAGCCACTTTGGGGAATTTGGGGAAGGCCGCATCCCTTGGCTTGTCTGCTTCAACCCCTACTACAACAGAAAGGGGAGTCCAGAAAGTGCCAGAAGCTCTGTGAGTGTATCTGTCAGCATTCGTCTGCCCATCTACTTCATTTGCCTGCATTTTTATACAAAACCTAGTGTTAGACCCTCTGAAGAATCCATATTGGTAGCGATTGCACGCCCCCATCTCGGAGCTTCTGAATATTCATGTGGGAAGCAGAAGGGCCGTTATCAAAGAAGGGAGAAACGGCAATTCATAAATATTAATAGAGGCAGGTCCACGTGCTCCAAGGAAAGCTATGAATGTTCACGAGAGGATGACGTTCAGGCTCTGGGCGCGCCCGTTGGGCGGGTGCCCGAGTGCAAGCGCGCCTCCGGGAGCTCGGGCACGAGCGCGGGGACCGGCACCGCCGGAGCAGCGGGGTAGCACTCGCTGGCTGGCTTGCTGCTGTCGCTGCGCTGCGCCGCCAGGCTCCTGCTAGCCGGTGAATGGGGGTGTTCGGCTGAGCCCCGGGATCCGCGTCCCTCCACTAGGACCCACACAGGTGAGGTCTCGGGGTTAGAGAGTAGGGGACGACGACCTCAGTCTGAACTAGATCCAGTACTTGGGGGGGGGGGGGCCCGGGGGATCGAATCCGGGTGATGAAGGAGGCCAGAGGACTTCAGATCTCTCATAGGACTCCTGGGATAAGCGCGACTCTCATCCCCATTGGGTCCCATCCACACACTGAAAAAGAAGGGCCCATGAGCCATCGCCCTGGTTGTACCCAGTTGTGCGGGAGCTCAGCACCAGGGCCCCGGAGTGAGATGCTGGATTGCTGGATACTGGTGGCATCATCTCAGAGCATCGTGTGTGTGTGTGTGTGTGTGTGTGTGTGTGTGTGTGTGTGTCGGGAAACACTGCCTGATCGTGTTGGAGCAATATGGATCCCCTATATCAATCCAGGACCGTTATCTGGTCCGGTTATCTTGGGCTTCTCAAAATCATCTTTGTGCCTGTCATCTATTTGTGCCCCTTTCGCGGGATGTGGAGGCTTCCCCAGACGGTACATTCTCGCAGTGTCAGAACCTCTGGCTGCAGTCCTGGGGGAGCGATTGTTTTACTACACAGAGCAGGTCGGAAAAAGAACGAGTGTGGCAGAGAGGAGTGGTGTGTGCAGAGCCGGTTGTCGTCCTCAGGGCCCGGGGCTCTGCAGGTCGGGGCGGGGGGGGGGGCCTCAGCTTAAGGGGTGTTATACAATCCGCTCTTCTGCCCTCTTGCCTTTCCCTTCGCATCCTGTCTTCTGGCACGACTCACACCATTCCAGGCGTCCAGGTCTTTTTTGGCAAAGGGACAGTGGAGTGTGTGCAGGGGCTGCGTGGGATGAGCTGGGCTTCCTCGGAGTGCCAGCCATTGTGCTGCCTAGAAGAGCCTTTCTTTACTCTGACAGAAGAGGGAGAGGAGGTCTGAAATGGAGGTGAATGGAATAGAAGAGAAGGGGGGAAGGGTACGGAGCCCAGTGAAGGGGTTGCTGAGCCATGTGCAAATGAGTATTTATTCTTTCTGGCAAAATGGACAGCTAACGCTAGCCAGGTTTTGCAAAAGAGCAGTGAGAATCTGGAAGTAGATAAGCGAGGACATTTTAAGGGTCTATGTGGGGAGGGGAGCGAAGGGGAGAGGAAGCACAGAGTCAACTAGAGAGCAAGTGATGGAAAGAACAGAGAGATGGAATGGGCAGTGTGGAGGTGCAGAGGCCCAGCACGGGAAGCATGGTGAAATCTCACTCCCATCCACCATTCTCTCAGCTCAGTGCAGCAGGGGCTGGTGATTTGTGCTGCAGACCCAAGCCGCTGCAGCTTCTGTACCGTTAGGCTGCAGGGAGAGGCTTATGTGCTTCCTACCGGGTGTCTGTGGAGCTCTCTGTGTGTGCATTTCTCTTCCGAATGACATCACATATTGGGAGTCAGAATAGATGGAATAGATTGTATGAAAGGCTTAAGCTATAGTCTGTACTATGTTCTATAATAACAAGAATACAACGACTTACCTGTTACTCCTTCTCTGGCATTTTTGGTTATCTAGTTAATTTGGAAGCACAGAGAGAATGGTTATTACATGGATTAACATCAACTTTTTTGTGTGCGGGAGAGGTGAAAAGAGAACCTCAGGTGTCACACACGCCAAACAAGTGCTCTATGACTGAGTTGCTCCTCCATCCTTAGCACTAGCTTTTAAAGGAGGAGGGCTGGGAGAGAAGCTGAGGCTTGAGGACTCAGCAAGCTTGCCAGGATGGAAGGATGGAGGGGCTACTTCAGACATGTCAGTTGAGAAATAGAGGCAGCCTACCTAGAGGAGTACAAAAGAAAATGAAGTAAAGAAGGCAGGTAGGGTACCCCATTAAAAGGGGTGTGCCAACACACCAACCCCTTCTCGAGGCTTGATCCTTGCTTCCTCTACCACAGCCTGAGATACAAGCGCTCTGTTCAGGCTGGGTACCATATTAATACAGATTCCCAGTTGTGCTCTCAGATTTAGCATTGTCTACCCGATCGTTTGCATTGTACTTCATGTCTTCTGGGTAGACTGCCGATGAAAGCCAATCAGGATATCTCATGGCTTGTTCCTACTAGTCTTGTTTCTGGACTCCAAACCTTCATATTCATGTCTTCTTTTATAATACTTTCTTTAAAGTTTGACTTGATTTATTTATTATCAGCCATGTGTATGTGTTGTGTGAGAGCGTACACACGAATGTGCCACAGGACAGTTTGGAGGCCAAAGGTCAACTTTCAGGCGTTGGTTCCCTTATGGGATCCAGGGATCAAACCTAGGCCCTCAGGTTTGCAAAGCAAGCACTTAAAGCCCACAGAGTCATCTAGATAACTCATTTCTGTTATAGTCTTGTAGCAGAATCTTTTCTCTCTAGGGTTGTCCGAGCCAAATATAGACCACTCTCTTTTTTAGATTTTTTAAAATTATGCATATGTGTCTGTGCACATGAGTGCGGGTGCCCTTCAAAGCCAGAGACATTGGTGGCCCCCCCCCCCCCCCCCCGACTCCTGCTGGAATTAGAAGCAGTTGTGAGTCACCCTACATGGGTGCTGGGAATTGAAGTTAGTATGTGCTCTTCACCACTGAGCTACCTCTCCAACTCCTAAGCATGTTTAAGATCTATATGGTAATCCAGCATTCAAAGCTCAGTACGTTCATTTGCTTTCTTGTTTGAAGCAGGCTTTCGTGTAGCCTAAGCTATCGCGGCACTGGCTACGTAGCTGAAAAGGACCGTCCATTCCTAACCTTTCTTCCCCCATCAACCCAGTGCTAGGATTTCAAGTGTGCATCATCGCCACAAACAGCTTGAAGTTGTCTTAGTCCTGGATCCCTCTCGGGCTGGCTTTTGTTGATAGTATGAACTGCGCAGTCTGGAATCAGCATCCCAGCTAGCATCACCTTCTTATCCTAGATCCTCTGTCATTCCCATAGAGAAACACACATTGCAAGGAATCATAAATATCTGTAGTCAATTGACAACTGACCAGCTTTTGTGTCTCTCTAAATTGGGACCCGTGATCCAGGAAAATTTGACCAAGTGAATTAAAAAAGAGTCCTTGATGGGGAAAAAAAATGCCCAAATTCTTTCAGCGATTTTCTTCTCACTTGGTCACATTTCGAAGCAGTGTACACAGAATGTCATGGCAAGGATATTTTTCACATGACACATGCTTATCCACATTTTTTGTTTCTTGATCTTACTTGTTTATTTGTTTGAGACCAGGTCTCACTATGTAGCCCTGCCTGACCTGGAACTCACTATGTAGACCAGGCTGGTCTTGAACTCTCAAAAATCTGCCTGCCTCTGCCTCCTGAATGCTGGGTTTAAAGCCAGGAGCCATGACTCTCTCTCTCTCTCTCTCTCTCTCTCTCTCTCTCTCTCTCTCTCTCTCTCCCCTTTGGTCTGAAATTTCAAGGCCTCATTTTGCAACACCTTTTTCTGACTACTCCTATGGTTATTTGAATGTAATTGGCTGCCATAATCTTATAGGGAGTGGCACTATTAGGAGGTGTGACTTTGTTGGAGTGGGTATAACCTTGATGGAGGAAGTGAGTCACTGTGGGGGCAGGCTTTGAGGTTTCCTATGCTCAGAATACCACCCAGTGTCTCAGTTGACTTCTTATTGACTACAAGATATAGGACTTTGAGCTACTCCAGCACTATGTCTGCCTGCATGACGCCACACTCCCCGTCATGATGATAATAGGCTGAACCTCTGAAACTTTAAGCAAGCCATCCCAATTCAATGTTTTCTTTATAAGATTTGTCATGGTCATGGTTTCTCTTCACAACAATAAAAACCTTAACTAAGACAACCCCCAACTTTTCTCCCCATTTTTTATTTTATGTGTAGGTATTTTCCCTGCTTGTAGCTTGGGTACCATGTTCATACAGTGTCCAGGAAGGTCAGAAGAGGGTGTTGGATCCACAGGACTGAAGTTAACAGATTGTTGTGAGCAGCCATGTGGGTGCTGGGAATCAAACCAGGGTCTCTTAACCACCAAGCCATCTCTCCAGCACCCTACTTACAGTCTTTTAAATTGTCATTTCTTTGAGATGCCTGGCATCCTTCTTTATAATCCTGGAAAACTCTGATACCATTATTTACATAATTTACTTTTAAACTGATGGTGAGAATTTTTATCATCAAACTGTTTATTTTCCTTTTTAAATGTCTTTACTAAATACCTTCCCTGCCCCAGTGACTTGTTCTTAGTTTGTTGGTGTGCACAGTATCTTCATCTTTTGAATTTCTGCACCTTTCTTGGTACCTTGAATTACTCTTGGCTCACATTCACTGTCTAAAATGGTTCCTCTAGGATGAGTTTCAGTCATTCTAGACCTCTGACATCTAACATCAGAATTTCTAGTGACTCCCTCTCTTTCTGACCATATCATTGGGATTGTCACACCATTCTTACTCTTTTTCTTCCTCTACACATGAGGCTAGGTGATCTCATGTCCTTCAAACAGTGATTTTTCTGTCACTCTCCTTTTTTTTCCTTTTCCTTCTCTCTCTCTCTCTCTCTCTTTCTCTCTCTCTCTTTCTTTCTTCCAATGGGGTCTCATAAAACTCAGGCCAGCCTCATACTTGATATAATGTTGAGGATTACCTTGATCCTCCTGCTGGGCTAGTAAAGTAGCAGTAGTGGGTTTCTGTACTAAGATCTATAACCTCATTAGCTAGTTGGCTAGATTTTCAGTACCATCCATAATTTCTCTTTCATTGAGCAGGCCCTAAGCCCAACTAGACAGCTGTTAGTTACCACCAAAATATGAGTGCCACCGTCACACCCTTGGGAATATCTTGCGGTGCTGTCGTTATTGCAGTTCATAGGTGGGACTATCCGTTGCTTCCCTCCCTTGGCAGTTTGCTCAGCACCTTTTGTTACTATGAAAGCTTGTCCTCAGAGAGGAGGCTTTCAGGTCAGACCAAGCTCAAAACCCCCAAGTTTCTGAAGTACATGCTGTCTTCAGCAATAGGAACTTACCTTCAAGCTCTGATAGGCAGCCAAGGGCAGCAGTGATAGCCTGCATTGCTTTGGGAGTCTCCTGAACTCTTTTGACCGAGAACTCAAAAAGAAGTTTCATATGTCTAGTACTGAGGTTTTTTTTTGCTAAATAGTCTATGGTTCTTGGGGGGATCATTGTCAACCCAAGTAGCATAATTTTATTTAAATCATATATGTAAATGTATACTCATATACTTATATGGATTATAGTAATGTTAGTTAAATAAAAAATAATGTTTCCTTATGGTCTTTTTAAACATCCTTCGTGCTATTTTTCCCTCCTCCTTTCCTCTTCTTCTGTACTGAACTCTCTGCTCCATCCCCAATTAACCATTCCTTCTCTTCCCATTTCCCCCTCTGTATCACTAGTGTCGTGCTATGGCCCCTTCTAGCACTTCTTCCCTCTGCCCCGTAGTACATTTTTGCTTCCCTGGTTTTTAATGGCTACTCCAAGTTACACGCGCACATCTGAAGACTGACTTTGAGACTGACCTTGAACTGATCCTTCTGCCTCTACCTTTGGCTGCTAGTGTTTAACTATGCCTCACCATGCTGCACTGAATGATGTTTTTAAATCCACAGAACAAAATACTGTGGCTTGAAATGGAAACCAATTTTACTGAAATATAGGTATAGCCAAAGACTTTGTAGGGGTTCGCACACCATAGAGGAAGAACTTCTGATTGATAGACAATTGATTGATCATTGCTTTAAGGTTGTGTTGGGGTAATGTGGTGGCTGCTAGGCACACATAGCTGTTGAGTTCTTGCAAGGAGGCTAGTCCAAAGAAAGACTGTAACTATAAAATGCACATTGCATTTCGAATGACTTAGTACAAAATATGATCTCCGTATTTTTAATATGAATTATATATTAATATAGTCATACTTTGGATACATTGGATTCAGGAAATATGTTTCTATAATTAAAATATAAAGCTATTAAAATGAGTTTCTAAAGGTGTTAGCTCAATGCCAGCATTTTTATAGTAATTCATGAGGAAATCAGATCCTGGGATACGTGCCACTCAGTCAGCCATTGCACTCAGGAGTCTTGGCAACCTCTCACTTTTCCCTGTTGAGAATGGCCTTAGTTAGGGTTCTTATCATTGTGATGAAACACAACAACCAAAAGCAACTGAGGGAGGAAAGGGTTTATTTTTGTTTACGCTTCCACAACAGAGTCCATCATCGAGGAAATTAGGAGACAACTCAAGGTAGGAGCCTGGAGGCAGGAATTGGAGCAGAGGCCGTGTCGGACCATTGCTTATTGGTTTGCTATCCACGGTTGCTCAGCCTGCTTGTCATATGACCTCCACATACCTGCTTGCTTATGTGACGTCCACAATGGGCAGGGTCCTCTCATATCAATCACTAATTAAGAAAATACACTGTAGACTTGCCTGAGAGCAAATCTTATGGAGGTATTTTCTTAATTGATAGTTCCCTTTCCCGAATAACTAACATGTCTCAAGTTGGCAATAAACTAGCCAGGACAGAATGGAAACCAGGGCCTCTACCACTAAATTACACATCCAGTCTTACTCTACCTGGTTTGGAGTGTATTTTCCCCCAGCAACTTTTTCTTTCTTTCTTTCTTTCTTTCTTTCTTTCTTTCTTTCTTTCTTTCTTTCTTTCTTTCTTTCTTTCTTTTATCCCTCCCTCTCTCTCCCTCCCTCCCTCCCTCCCTCCCTCCCTCTCTCTTTCTCTCTTTCTTTCTTTCTCTCTTTTGAGATGTAGTCTTACTATGTAGTCCTGGCTGGCCTGGAACTCATTACATAGAAGAGGATAGCATTGAAGTCAGGGGCAATCTACTTGCTTGTGCCCCCAGAGTTTTGGGGATACAAACATGTTCCACCCTTTCTGGCTGGTAATCCTTTTATATAATCATCCTATCATGTTTCCTTTGCAAACTAGAAGTGTTCAGAACGTATTTTGACGCCATGGTAACTGGCTTGATCTCAGCAAAAAAAAAATCGGAGTAAGGGCCAGAGCTCACCCAGCATGCCCTCCGCCTTGTGTAGAGTTTAGTTTTGTGTATAGAACTAGAGAGTGAGCACTTAGTGGGCAAACCCCATGACTTTTGGTATCTGTCGAGACTTACGCATCTAACTACTAGAAATCATATAGACCAGAAGAGAAAAGCTGGCTATTTGTCCACATTACCAGGATGGAAGCTGGGCATGTGTAGAAGGGTGGCAGATGGTAATGCTGTTGGACACGGTATATGGGGCAGAAGAGCGTGTCTCAATGATACACATTGATTGGTTGCCTGGCCTCAGGGCAGTCAATGTGCTGTAGTCCTGGAGGATATCCAAAGGACGTCTGTGCCTTCAAGGAACTTGGATTAAACCTGGGAAGGGCCCTAGCTTTGGGGACTGAAGGATAAATCCCTGTTTTAGATAAGTGTGAAGAGGGCTAGAAGCATAAATCCCCGTTGAGGAAGGGTTTGAAGAGGGCTGGATGGGGGTGTGGGTCACAGTTGCTGGGCTTTACCAGACTTAGATGTGTAGTATCTTGTGTAGTATCCAAGATAGCTGTGGATTTGGCCTTTGGAACACATAGGTTGAGTCTCTCCTCCCTCTGCCCTGCCTCCCCACACCTTCTAAACAGGTTATCTCTCACTCTGTATTCCAGGCTGACCTGGAACCTGAGACAGGTTTCCTACCCCAGATTCCCAAGTGCTAGAATTATATTTGTGAGCTGCCATTCCTGACTAAAAGCTTGGCTATATTCTGTGTAGATTTTTTTTTAGTGGGTAGACCGTGCTAGGGATCATATACAGAGATCTTCACATACATGGTAAGTGCTTTGTCATTGAGCTATATCCCTGGGGCTTTATTTCTTAGAAGACGGTAGACCGAAGGCTAGCCCCAAACTTCTGGGTTCAAGCTATCCTGCCTCCTGAGCAGCTGTAACCTCAAGTACAAGCACCAGTAATGGGCTGCAAAGTGTCTATTAGTGTTTTATGCATTTCTAGGATTTATTAACGAGGAAAGCAATGTCTAGATCCAGGATCCCGTTTCCTGACCCGTGGAGCGATGCATGTTTCAAAATTTAGATTATTTCAAATTTTGAACAGGAGTAACTGCATGTTCAGCATCTTATTCACGGTGGGCTGAGGTAGTGAGCTCTGTTATTCATTTTCATTTTTATTTTTTGGTGCTAGGAACAGAACCCAGGGCCTTAAGTGTTCTGACCTTGCGCTCTGCCACTAAGGTATACTCTCATTCCCGTCCATAATTTAAAAAATTAATATTTCTTTAGCATAACACTCTCAGTGGGATAAATTCAGACCACAGGCAGCTTTATATTCATGTTAGGTTTTATTGTCAAATTAGTTTAGGTCATGCTGGGTTTTGATACAAGAAGTTGTGAAAAACAAACAAATAAGAAACATCTAAATTAGGTCTGGTTGCATAGTAGCACAATCCAATAATCCCAGCTACTCCAGAGGCTGAGGCAGAAGGACCTGTGTGGGCTAAGGAGTGAGTTCAAAATCAGTCTAGATAACGTAAGGACAGCCTGTCTCAAAAGAAAAAGTAAAAATAGGGCTGGTGATGTAGTTCTTCATATTGCTTCTTATGTGCAAGGTCGAGAGAGAGAGAGAGAGAAAGAGAGAGAGAGAGGAAGAAGAAGAAGAAGAAGAAGAAGAAGAAGAAGAAGAAGAAGAAGA